GACAAAGTAAATGAAAACCGAGGAGGAAAACAAAGATTTTCAAACATTACTTAGATTCAAGGAAATAGCGAGTCACATTGACAATAAACAAGAAATTATAAGTCAGTTTCCAAACTCTAGCAGAACATTATTTTTAAAGAACTAGATTCAGAACAAGAAAGGATGCAGACAGTTTAGATAATGGCAAGATTAAATTTCAATATAGATATAACCATCCAAGTAATATTGAATAGTAAGTAATAATAGTCTTCCACAAGTAATAAAACATTGATATTCAAAATAAAATCTCAATTTTATCAGAAAGTTAGTAAGATATTTAAAAATGAATTCCATTACCAATAAACAAAACAATGTACGTAAATATACCAGAACATATAATTAAGAACGAGATAGAAATTAAGATTCTAAAATGACAATGTATCAATTTGGGAAACACACATGTGTGCGAGACACTGGCCACTGGAAAAATAACATAATAACATAACATAAATAACATGAACCTACAGCATATTCAAAACCTAACGGTAAAGTCACCGACCGAGGAACACTAACCCTGCCAACCAAGTAGATCTTTAGGGACAGAGGGATGATCTGCTTCAGGACACAATCAAACACACACCTGACAACCGTCTACATATTAATCGCAATCTCCATTCTGGCCGCAATTACAGCATGGACAAGCAAAAGGAAAACGGTCATCTTGACAACAGCCGCTCCGGAACCTTTCGCAACCCCGACCATACCTCCTCTATGGCCATCGTTCCAAATTGGGGAGGGAAGAGTTACGAGCTCCGCTCTTTCATCACCCCGCCTCTGCACCCGAGAGCGAACTCATAATAAAACAATACAAACTGATGTCGTTGACCCGCAGTTGATGAGGAAAACGGAATATTGACTCTTATCTGCTGGGAACCAGAATGCCGATAGATCATTTTCTCAAACGGGTACGAGACCGGCTGCATTCCCGGAGTTTTTTGTCGTAGGAGTTAGGATTCAGCCTTTAAAGGGTAGATTTAAGAAGAAAGAATCAGTCTTATTTGGACGATCAAGAGTAGAGGAAGCTTTATTTATTATTTATGTAACTCAACGATTGATACAATAACTAAACTAATTGATACAATAACTTAACTCATGCGCTCCGGGATGCGGCGCCTTCGCGGGTGAGCGGCGCCTTCGCGGGTGACTGGGAGTAGGGCGAATAAAACGACGCCTCATTGTCACAGTAGATGGATTTGATAACAAGGAAAAAAATGATCAGCTGTAATATTGGGGTACGCACATCCACTATGGCCCTATATGGCGATTTTTGAAAGTTTATCAACGCAGGTTAAGAAAAGCTTCTGTATATGTCCATATGCAGCACTTCCCCCGCATATGGCAGAATTTGTGGACGCCCAACTCTTGCTTCTTAGGCTGTTTGTTGCCTTAGCGCAGGTCCCGAAGTTTATTAGTGAGTTTAGACATTTTGGGAAAATAGTAATCCCGAAAGACTTGTTTAACATTTTCCTGGGCAGCCCTGTGGGCGCTGTTGTGCTCGCGTGTTATTATTTATTTATTAATTTAATGCTTCTTCAAAATATTAATGATCCCGACTTGATCATGTACGTGTGTTAAATTTAAGCAATTAGTAAATATCGTTTTAATAATTCTCAGCGCTTTACGGTTTTGCTATACATAAGTACAGTAAACATCGGCTGATGTACAGCTCGAAAACTTCTACACAGCGCCAATTGCCGTTGAAAACTGGTGGTTCCGTTCTACCTTCTAATTCAATTCTCTCTTTAGTTGGCCTTAGTCAAGCGCATCGTAGAGTTTGTATAGTGACTTTCGTATCCTCTTATCGTCTTATCGTTTAAAAATTCCAACCTCAGTTTCCTCAAAATGCCCACTTTTGCTAGCATTAACTCACACTCAGCGTTATAGTGAAGCAATAAGGATGAATTTTAAATTTTATTTGCCTATAAAAGGGACACAGCTTACGGCAATACAGGTCTGGCAACTGTAGGAACTGCCACCAGAAGCATTACTCTTTTCGATGCAATCGATGCAATCGAATCGCATTGATTTGCTTATTGGAGCAAATGTATTCTTTAAGCTGCTTTGCATTCGACAGATTCCATTAGCAAACCATTTACCCACCTTACAAATAGACATTTTTCGATTAAAAGAGACATTTTTCATCAAGCTCGCTGCGCTGAGTTTCTCAAGCGGGGTAATAGACCAGCCCGAAACCAAGCGCAGCATTTTTTCACTTTCGCTAGATTTTACGATACCCCTGGATTAATAGCCCCGATAATCATCAAGCTTTCAATTTTTATGCAGGTCCTATGGAAGGAAAACGTTGCGGTCTTTACACTCATCTTGGTTGGAGCACATGTCACAGATAGTATATCCCATTCTGCGACGTTCATGGATTTTGTGATGCCAGCATCGCCGCGTACGGCTCTTGCATTTATATTTGTTCAGAACATCAAGGCGTAGTTTCATAAAAACTTCTTTGCCCAAAGTCAAGAGTTGCCCTCTTAGAGACATCAACATTTCGAAGCTAGAGTTATCTGCAATTTTTTATTGCCCGAGGTTATCTCTAAAGTATTACAAATTGTGCCTCCAGTATACCAGCAATGAAGGGTTCCTGTCACATTCCCGTAATTCTACAACCGTTTTGGCATGGATCTGTAAACCCCCGACTGACTTTAACATGTTTGTCTCAAACAGGCTTTCTGTCAATATCTATCGATTTACGACTATAAAATACCCGTTACTGTTTTACACAATTTTAAAATATTGGAAATTCATAAAGCACCACTTATTATCATAGAAAGCATGTTGAGTAGCCGATAGTGACGTCACTGTCCATGTGAGGCCTTATAACCTACATTTCTTCATCCATAATCCCTACCTTTCATCACATACAGCTTCCGACATCTCAGCGTTCTTACAAAAATCGGAAAACATTTTTCGGGCTTGGTGGGCGTAAAGGATGGCCTGGCCAGACAATGGTACCACCTGCGCTCCCAATTTAAGATTATACATATTTAATCAGATCTTTCTAGTTTTTATAGTTCCTGAAATCTCTGATTTTATTTTTCCGTTTTTTGTGGGCGTTACAGAGGGCGTGGCAGACTCTGAAATTAATTTGCGATGTATAGGCACCTCAGAAATCTGGGTGCTTAGACCCAACATTCTCAAAGTTCATACAGAGACCGTCAATCGGACGGATAGATGGACAGGGCTAAATCCACTCGGGTATGGATCCTAATCAAGAATATATATACATACTCCTTCTACCAGTTATATATTTATATAGCATAAGTTGCAATTTTCTTATTAAATCCTTTTTGTATTAAATATTTGTATTAAAAATTTAAAAATCTTAAATATATTAAATAAATAATAATAAATCCTTGCAGATGGTAGGGAAGAATGATGTAGGAATTGACAGATTAAAAAGGTTAAGTTTTTATTTAGAAACAGTTGAACCACAAAACTTTAGAAAAACCCGGTATAGGCATCCGGAATAGTTGTAACAGAAAATTCCGTAATAGCATTTTTTTTAATCCCGCTGTTTTTTTTAATCTTCATTTTTGGAGTCTAACCATAGAATATCTTAAGTCTATAACATAACTATCTAATTGACAGTTTTTATCTAACAGGTGCCTCAAATATAATTATTGCTGGGCGTCGTTGCATCGCAGTCGTGCTCTTTCTGAGACCACTGAGGTCGCTGTCGGGATTCCGTTACTGTCGGGATTCCGATATCTCTCTGGATGTTATCTTATTCAACATACCATGGTGACTTGTGGTAGCTTGAAGAATTGTTGATTGGGGCCGCTAGATAATGTCAACGTTGCCCCTACTTGCATTTCCCCACAGCTGAGAGCATTGCACTTGACCGAAATTACGTAACGCTCGGCTTTGTGTAAATGTTTTCGAAATGTACAGAAGGCAATGCTGGCTGTAGTTATGTTTTGCACGATGCGAATTGAGTTTATGTTGTTGGCCGTAATACCGTTCACGATCACGTCGGGGTCACCAAATTTTTGAGGAGGCCATTATTATATGCTTTTATTTGCCCATTTTATAAAGAATTAATAATTTATAATTACACGAAATAAGCGGTGCCGTGAACCGTGCGAAAGAAAAGCCCGATAGGTTTTCTTTGCTATAATTTATTTGCGCAGCACTGCGACTGTGTTTATACAGTGATATAGAACGAAAGCAATGATACGAACTGAGCGATTACCGACTCGCAAGCGCTTATCTCAGCTTGTCTGCAGATAGAATTGATAATTCAGCATACAGTGATGTCCACCAAATTGTAAACCATTACTATACTCGTTACTCGTAGAGTAAAAGGGTATATTAGAATCAATGAAAAGTATGTAACAGATATAAAGAAGCGTTTCCGACCCTATAAAGTATATATATTCTTGAGCGAAGTCGGTTAAGCCATGTCCGGCTGTCCGTTCGTCCGTCCGTCTGTCCCTCCGTCCGTCTTTCCGTATGAACGCTGAATCTCAAGAACTATAAGAGGTAAAAAGCTGAGATTAATGAGACAGATTCGAGAGGTCCCTACGCAGCGCTCAGAAACTATTAAAGCTAGAAAGATGGAATTAAGTATGTATTATCGTATAAGTATATATGTACCGAAAGACGGTTATCGCTTTTTGTAAAAACGCCCAGATCTCGATAACTGTAGGTGATAGAAAGTGATTTTAAATTTTTAATTTGAGTTTCAGTAGCATTAGTCAGTTTTTCCTCATGCTATATGTATTCCATATGAGAATTGGCTCGATATCGGTGGCAACTTATTACTTACATAAATTAACGATTGTTCAGATGTAATTGTAACGATCACCTCTTTCAACAATATATGCGAGTATACTTATAGTTTATTTCGATACACACTTTTCAACGAATAAAATATATGCTTTTAATTTACAAGTAAAATATTTATAATTTATATATATGTATATATATTTCCTTTTATTTTATTACAGAGAACAGCAGTTACTAAATATATTTGAAATTATTGTAACGACCCTTGAAGGAAAACTAAAACGTATTGACTCTCTTGATGAAAGAATCCAACTTATAATTGAAAAAATGGAAACGCTGCAGGGCCAGGTTGTTAACAATTTAGAAAAAACTGATTTCATTATAACTCAAACTCAAAATATAAAAAAATCGATTTCAAATGATATTTCTGATTTTCAAACACCGTACTTAGATGTTATCAACCAAACCACAAATCGCGCAATTAATTCATCAACAATACTCAAAGAGCAAATTGCAAAGTTAGATCGAAAGGTATCTAATATAGATAATAAACTAGATGGTCTTAAAGTCCAAATAGATAACAAAATTTTCCATGTTGAAGACTATATGGGCGAAGCTAGTGAAAAAAAGCCTGTCACAATAAATGAAAATGACTTTAAAAAAGCATTGAGCATTGAAGCTATGACACATGTTTCATCTGAATTAAGCGAGCTCCGTGATTCAACTGATAGCATAGATAAGAAGTTACAGTTTCACATAAATATAATTTCTGAAAATATTGGAAAAATGATGAATATGATAAATGAAATTCATTTGGCTGTTGTTGCTAATAACAAACAATTTAAACCTTTAAACTTAACAGCTGTGCAACCATCGACAAAATCGAACAAACTGGACGTTCTAGCAAAACATATGAGACCAATGGTTGCAGTATCTGAAAAAATTGATGAAGTTTGGGACGTCGTGGTAGACACAAAGTCAACTGTGGACAACCTTCTTCCTAAGTCCGCTGCTCTTCTAACGCAAACACAACGCCAAGAACGTGCAATAGATGAAATTCATCAAGATCTTAAAAGCAAAACCAACTTAATTATAAACAACCTCGATATGGTTGAAAAAAGATTAAAGAAACAGGAAGATTATGTCCAAATTTTAGCTAATCTTCCTGAGCCCTCTGTGCATACAATAAACCAAATAAATGACAGTTTTTTGGGATATGACTCGAATAAGTAAATAAATATAAATTTTTCACTACTGTCTCTAACTAATCTCTATTTTAAGCTACTCTGTTATTAATGAAACCATAAGAAGGGCAAAACCGTCTTTGCCACTCTCTTACATTCAACCATCCATAGTGACCACCATTACACCCTTACCATTTACTTCTTCAACTGGAGATATGTTGGTTCCGTTACATTCATCGCCATTTAGCAATAATGTCACTCACAACAACGGATCTGTGATCAATGGATTAAAATCAGCAATTCGAAAAGATGGAATTATTTTTCCAAGCATAAAAAAAAAACCGGCTATTCTAAATACAACGGTAGCCAATGAGTTTTTATCTCTAAAGGATTTTAAAGTAAGTTTGCTCCAACTGAATTTAAATGCACGAAGATACGCTATAGTCGAGTGCCGCAATACCCATTACTATCTAATGCAATTTTAAAATAATCATTTTGCTAGTACAAATTTGTAGCTACAAATAATTTGTTGTTATGTATATATTACAATCACGTACGCTGATATTCTTAGCTTAAATTCGCGGCGGCAAAAACAGTGTTACCAGCCGACCGTTTCTTAGTTAGCTTGGCTTGGTTTTCGGTCAACTGGGGTGTCTTGGGATGGACTGCCATAGTACTCCCTCCCTAATGACGACGTCACTAGTCCTGTTGAGATACACTTCTTAGTATAAAGGTGGGTTTCATTCTGTCCACAGTAACGGCTCCAACGGCTGACGAAGAAGCACTTGTCTATTCCTTTAAGACCAAACATTATTTTTTGCTGTGGTGAGCAGCTGGAACTAGCCGAATTTTTTGCATCTTACGCATTCGAAAACTACTAATGAAGAGGGCAGGATCTTGACTTGCATCGATTTTGAATAATTCGTTTGGCAACCGTACTGTTGTTCCGTAGACCACATGATGAGCTGAAGTACCTCTTGATGCATGTGCGGAGTCCCAACAAGACTACAAGGAGTTCTAGCCAAGGGGTATTTGGGTGACACATCATCGCAGCCTGAACGATCGATCATGTCACTTCACTGCGGTTGATACACAGTCGTATGTATGAGTATATGGCAGAGTTACTGCGTTCACTGCAGTACAAACGTTTACGTTGCTTGAGTCGCCGGAAAAGGTGTTGGCAGACTCAAGCATTTTGCCTGATGCTTTTGCTAGCTTCTTGTGATTGTTTTTCCTTTCCCGATCGTTAAAATCGAACAAATGTTACGGTGCATCTCTCCCAGAAACATTTTTCGGATTGTCGACTCTCTATTGGACTCCGGAACCAGACGGCGAATGTGAGCCAGAATCTGCGAAGGCTTAAAGTCGGAAGTTCCTTCTCATAGCAGACGGCATAGCTTTGATGCGGCTGACTATGGAATTTTGTCGAGAAATCTATTCGGCAGATGCTGCATGTTGCGGTAGTCCTCGTCGTCCAAAAGGATCCTCCTGGAAACAAGAGATCGCAAATTGTAGCGCGGTTCATCAAATATACACTCTGGATGTTGTAGCATCTTTAATCTACGTTTGTGTTGAAAGTCTCAGTTTTTTTTGCAAATTATAATTGTGCTGTGTCTTGCAGTGAAGTACAGGGTCAAAACTTTAGTAAGTGGCTACTAATATTTTATAGTTATTTATATTTTACAATCACACACGCTAGTATTTTGAGCTTGAATTGGTAGTAACAGTGTTACCAATTGATCGTTTCTTAATTAGGCTGGCTTGGTATTCGTTGAACTCCGCTGTGTGGGGTCTTAGGCTGGACGGCCTAAGACAGAAGTTGGCGCAGCGCCAGAATACGTTGAATATTATTTCTCGGCTGGTGGCCGTTATGGTGGACGTGGCCAGATGAAAAATCACCTCAGGCAAGGCGGCCTCTCTACAATAACTATGCCGAACCCAAACGTTTTTAGCTCTTATAGTTATTTTTCGGTTCTCTCGGTATTGTTGGCGTTAGAGTAGGCGTGTGAAATATTTATATGGCAGGAGCGCCATGAAATATATAACAAATTTGTTGTACTTGGTTTATTCTTTATTTCAGGGAGCAGCAGTGGTGCCGCTCCCAGACTTGAATTGATTGTTTCTTTACAATATTCTTTTAAGTCTAATTAAGGCTAAGTCTCGTTGCTGCGCTGCTCGCAGGCGGCGGCAGAGAGACGGCTATCTATGTACTTATGTATATAAACATATGCCCTCTTATGTGATGAGCGCGAGGGGTATGCACATGCGGTCCGTTCGTGCAATTATGCCAACGCTAGCACTTTCTGCTAGTGGCCTAAGCCATAGCGATGGACCGGGACCATGAAACACTTAATAAAACTTGATCGCCTACTGATATATCAATATCTCTTAACTTCTGATCAAATAGTAATTTATTTCTATTCTTATTTGCTTCTAACATAACTCTAGCTCTTTTATAAGCTACTTCTAATCTATATTTGCTCTCCTTAGCATAGTCATCGATATTATATACGGGTTCTATGTTATCTATGCTGTTAAATTCCTTTGGTAAATTATTTGTTTTACCAAATACTAACTCATATGGACAATAGTTATGTGCCATTAAGGGGGTTTTGTTGAAACAAAATACAAAGTATTTAAGCCATACGTCCCAATCAGTTTTATCAACCGATATGTAAGATCGTATAAACTCATTAAAGGTTCTATGACTTCTTTCTATTGTTCCAACTGTCTGGTGGTGGTGTGCTGTAGATGATATGTTTTCGATTTTCAAATATTTGCACAAGTCATTTATAATTGAATTTTTGTATTCTGTTCCCGTGTCCGTAATGAACGTCTTCATTGGACCGTACTTTAGAATAAATGATTCGAAAATTGCTTTAGCGACGGTACTTGCGTTTTTATCTGCAACTGGTATGGCAACTAGATATTTTGTTAAATCACATATTAACGTGACTACATATTCATTGCCAATTTCTGATTTTGGTAGTGGACCAACAGGGTCCACTATTACTCTGTCGAAAGCGTTTATTGGTGTATCTGTTATTGTTAAAGGAGTCTTTGTATGCGATGTAATTTTTGATTTCTGACATTTATGACATATTCTTACGTACTCAGTTATATCTGTAGACATACCTTTCCAGTAATAGTGTCTTCTTACTTTGGCCAAAGTTTTTGATTTGTCAGTGCGACCTCCTTGAATGGATCATCATGAAATTTAGACAGAATAGCTTCTTTGTCTTTTAGACTTTTTATTTGGGTCAGCGGGTTGAGTAGCGCTACTCTTAATGTTTTCAATTTTTTATTGCCCATTAATTCGAATTTATCTAAAAGATATTTTTCCACGGTGCCACTTTGAGTTGGCTGATTTTATTTATAACGGCTTGCAGTCCAAGCCTTTGGAAAAATTGACCTAAGTTTAGAGTTGCATTGGTATATAAATCCCTAACATCATATCTTGCAGTAATTTTCGTGCCATGTTTAAATAAACATAACATATCTTTCACATGCTATGTCACTTCTTTACGTACTTCGTCATTGTTTATGACGTCGTATACGTTGGAAGTAGGTAGAGAACGCTGGTTCTGGCACAGATTTATGGGCTATTAAGCTGACACATTAGTGATAAAAACATGGTTTTCCCCACCCCGAAACCCATTATCGGTCGTCTCCTGTGATAAGGATTCCCCCTCACCAACCTTTTAGTCAGTATGGATTCTTTCACAGAAATCATAAACCCATAAAATATAGTTTTTTAAAATCAGTGAACGAGTTCAAAGAAGTAATAAAATGTGACGATTGTGTCATGATTAGTAATCCGTAATTTGGGAATATTGAAATGTATTCCTGACCCTAATTAGAAGGATTGGGAACGTCTTAAGGGGTTGAATTTTCTCAAAACACACTGTCAATTTCTATATATGTAAGCCTCTGGCTACGTGTGTGCGTGTGTATGGTTGAGTGGGAACCCCAGATGTGTGTGGAAACATGACATGTGGAACCGATAAGGAAGATCCATGCTCGCCCCGTAATAAAATGTGTGTTTTAGTATTTCTCTCTCTATTCCAACACATAGATAAAAAAGATACAAGAAGTTGTGGTTTTTGTGTGTGTAGTCATTGTTTCACAGCGCTAAGTAATTTCACTCCCAATAGGGGTCACTTCACACGCATGCATCTGATTTGTAAACATCTTGTAAGAGCATGTTACGGCACCCGTTGCACACGCGCTGAATGCGGTTGAGTTTCGTGGTAGTGTACATCATAATAGATGAGTGCATATGTGTACGTGTGCAAGTGAGTCTATATATATGTATTTCCCTTCCCTTATTCATAAAAAGTAAGAAAACAAGTTTTTTTTTCGTTTCACATAATACTTTTATTTATAAATTATTTTTCTAGCTCCATTCCTTAGATTTACTTAAAAGAGGCATGCGCATGTTTCTAACCTCGAATCTGTGTTACAGAATGTAAAGTGTTCACCATATTCCATTGTTTTTAGATCTTGAGCACCTTGATTCATGAACATAATTTTGGTTTGAAGAAGGTATTGGAAATGATTTTCAAATATCTTCCCATTGAATTGTAGAAAAAAATTATCAATTTCTTCAAGAAATTTCATTATTAATCGAAATATTTTTTTTTGTGAAACAGGTCTTGTCACAAGTGGTCTCAACTTGAAAATAAAGTGAATGCAAGTAGATATGATTAATTTGTTTTGACTCACTTTTAAAAAAATTTAGAATGTTGTATGCATTGTTTAAAGCACAAACACCACCTTTGACATGGTTTTTACAATAGAGAAATCTGTTTCCTCTAAACCGGTTTAATGACGGACAATGTATGTCCTCAACATTCTGGTTCTCAGCAGATAAGAGTCAATATTCCGTTTTCCTCATCAACTGCGGGTCAACGACATCAGTTTGTATTGTTTTATTATGAGTCCGCTCTCGGGTGCAGAGGCGGGGTGATGAAAGAGCGGAGCTCGTAACTCTTCCCTCCCCAATTTGGAACGATGGCCATAGAGGAGGTATGGTCGGGGTTGCGAAAGGTTCCGGAGCGGCTGTTGTCAAGATGACCGTTTTCCTTTTGCTTGTCCATGCTGTAATTGCGGCCAGAATGGAGATTGCGATTAATATGTAGACAGTTGTCAGGTGTGTGTTTGATTGTGTCCTGAAGCAGATCATCCCTCTGTCCCTAAAGATCTACTTGGTTGGCAGGGTTAGTGTTCCTCGGTCGGTGACTTTACCGTTAGGTTTTGAATATGCTGTAGGTTCATGTTATTTATGTTATGTTATTATGTTATTTTTGTTTTATGTTATTATGTCGATTATCGTAGTGGTGATATCTACATATGTGGTGCTGTTTACCGTGACAGTGCAGTTTTCATAGACTATCACCATTGATCCGTTGAAGATCTTGTCGGACATACAATTGGATGTGATTTTTAGATTTAACACATGGAGTACAAGCAGAAGTCCTTTAATAGGAACTTGGATCTGGGGTATATGTCTACCTTCTGTTGTGTCGCATGTTGCCTGCTTGCTGTTGAGTAGGTTGCTGAGGCATTCCAGGTTGTTGGGTAGGGCCAGTGTCTCGCCCACATGTGTGTTTCCCAAATTGATACATTGTCATTTTAGAATCTTAATTTCTATCTCGTTCTTAATTATATGTTCTGGTATATTTACGTACATTGTTTTGTTTATTGGTAATGGAATTCATTTTTAAATATCTTACTAACTTTCTGATAAAATTGAGATTTTATTTTGAATATCAATGTTTTATTACTTGTGGAAGACTATTATTACTTACTATTCAATATTACTTGGATGGTTATATCTATATTGAAATTTAATCTTGCCATTAATCTAGTTCTTTAAAAATAATGTTCTGCTAGAGTTTGGAAACTGACTTATAATTTCTTGTTTATTGTCAATGTGACTCGCTATTTCCTTGAATCTAAGTAATGTTTGAAAATCTCTGTTTTCCTCCTCGGTTTTCATTTACTTTGTCAAGTTCTTGTCGATTTTTGCTTCGTCATTGGCATCCATGTTCCAGGATACCACTTTTAGTAGACTACCTAAGCCATTAATCAGTCGCCTTTTTACTCTGCTACCAGAGGTCAGGAATGAGTGAATTCTTTGTTTAACTAAAACAATGTATTGTTTTTGGGTAGTTTTTACTTCAGTAAATTCCCTTTCATCGGGTAGAGTTTCGATTAACTTTCATATTTTGTTTGTTGTAGCCTCTTATTCTATTAAGTTAATGACGTGTATAATTGCTCTAAAGGAGCTTACTACCCTAGCTGATCCCGTATTTATTTTGATCAATGGTTTTTCATGGTCCAAAATATCGATTCCCCAAAATTAGGTTGCAAAGTCTGGAAT